CAAGTACTCGGTAGTCTGGGGTACGAAAAACTCGACTCGCGGTTCACCCCTCTGAAAATATCTCGATGCCGGCGCCGCGGGGCTCTGCCGATAACGCGTCCGCACGGCAGCGGCACAACTCCGCGCGTCAATGATGACGTACACGCCTACTAGGCCGATCGGAAATTTTGCCGCGCGGGGAACGAATTCGTGACGTCGCAATCATCATGCCGCACCGCGCCTTCATAATATAAGGACGTACCGCAATATCACGTTAAATTACGGTTCAGATTATTCGTTTACACCGCGTTCTACAGCCGTGTTTCATATTACGTCGATGGTAATCGGTTGTGACGTCACCAATACAAAACGCAATGTCCCGAGAACGTCACCTCCACAATACCGTTTAATCGCCGATGGGTCATGATCCGACGGGTACACGGCATCACGCGCCGCCGTAGAATGGAGATGGTGTACACCGCTGCGCCGACAGCGGTCGACCGCAGCGCTCCCCGTTAAAGACCGCACGCGGACGCGAACGCGCATTCGCCACCGCGTGCGGAATGGTCGAGACATGTCTACGCACGCGCACGGAACCGTTGGCGCGGTTACGGATCGGTTCGCCTCCGAGGCGGTAAACCGGAGGAAATGTTGTTTTGATAGGGACGCGATGCGTCACCGTGCGTTTGGTTTTCCCGTTTCCCGATTACGCGCACCGCGGGTAGTGTGGTGTAGTATGTACGGCAGGCGTACGTCGCAATAGCTGCGCTGAACGCACTGACGAAGGGGAGCGAGCCGCGGACTCAAACCACTAGGTGTTGTTCGTGTGGACGTTTCATTGATCCGTACATACGAAACCCAATGCCGAACGTACGTACGTTCGCGTGCGCGCTTATCGGAGACCACGGTCAACTACACCGGTGCAGATTAAAAATCCCATAAACAAACGGAGTATTATTACTTGCAATACATTTCGGTGTAGACGCTTCCGATTTCCCTCGACCCGTTGACGAGTTAATTCGCTCTTGAGTTTCGGTAGGGGGAGAGTAGTGGAGAACCAATTGGTTGGTGCTCAACCACGCTACTCCGGGTTTCTACCTAAACCTAAAACCGAAATATCTCGTCCGCAGTGTTGACGAAAATCAAAAATTTTGACACCTAAATTTATTTAAAGAAATACTCCGTATATTTATGGAATTTTTATTATACAGGTTCTCATTTGAAAGTCGCCACAGAGTACCGTTTAAATGTCCAATCGAAAATCTGAGTGTTCGACCGTATCGGCTTGAACTACACCTAAACATTTCAAAAATCGGAATTAAAATAAAATACTATGCGAAATGTATCGAAAAAAAAAAATGAGATAAATACGCCTAGAGAATCACCCTGTATACAGTATAACGCGCGAGACGTACAAAGAAAACAACAATACGTTGATTACAGCGAGGGGGCGAAGAGGTTATCAACGTCGACGCGCCGATCGGGAGATTTTCGAATCGTTATCGATAACACGGCGTCACCGTCGTTCGAACCCCGTCATGGTTGGACGTCTATAACTGTAATTGTCAGGAACAAGCCTTTGACGATACGAACTCTGGTCGACGGTTCCCGGTGACGGAAGTCCGTCCGCGGATATTTACTCCGGTGGCGCGCCGCCACGAGAGAGTGCGACCGCCACGGGCATCCAACTCCCGACGTCCCGAGGCCAAATTTCCCCCACCATACGGCGTCCGCCTATTGTGTGCAGTAGGGATGCGCGGGAATGAACACACGTTGGTCGCCGCACAGCCGCGCTATCTCGTGGCACGGAGTACGGTTGTCAAACGTTTGTACTCGGTCGTTTCAGTTCCGGTAACAACAACGACATACCATGGCGGCAAAACCGCGACGTTCCGTACTTTTCGTTTCCGAAAACCCGCCGAATCAATTACGCGCCGACTAGGGATCCCCAAGTGTTGCCGACCGGCGCTGATGGGTCCGGCGGGTTTCCGAACGAGGCCGCCGGCCCTTCCCCGGAGTCCCGTTCGAGAGTTCAACACCGGTTAACCATTGTTACACAATTACGACTGTGAATTAAATGCGGCGAAAAAACGTTGGAAATGACGTTGAAAAACGAGTCCTGTGTAGACGCACAGTCTGCGTAACCGCGGTTTTTACGGTATTGTGTGTCCGTAAGACGAAAACTGCAACAATTGCATGCGTCCGCGTTGTTGAACACACGTTTCCGATAACAAAAGTGTTCATTCGTCGTTTGCGTTATTAAAACTCAACGCAATAATCTGATATCTATCAATTGTTTACCGTTATCGCGGTTTTTATTTCAAATGCTATTGTATGTTTTATTCACTTAGATACCGTCAAAAATCGTCGGATTCGGTATGTCGGGGGAATCGAGGCGGCCAACACGTGTAAGGCGGATACGGAGTGTGTCAGCAGCGCGGCCGGGGTTCGATTCCCAGTCCCGACTTAATTTTCTGCATTTTTTACCATTTTTTTTTTTTTTCACGCGCGTAAAGAAATGTATTTATCTTAACATTTCACTGCCTTGGTAACGACAATTTAATATACTATTTATAAGATAATTAGGCATATTTATCATAGGCGTGCATGTCACGGACGGGTGCGTCAGTTTTGCAGATGGGAAGGTAGGGCGAATGGTCAAATAGAGTCGGTTTATTAATATCTTACAACAAATCGTTGTTGACGGAAAACGATTCTGTGCCGACAATCGGTTGAACATAATGTACACAGTCCTCTATATCAAAACGAAATATGGACGGCCTTTTTTTTTTTCCCCCGTGAACAGCTTTTCTATCAGCACGTTTGCTCCGATATTCAAGTGTAACACTTTTTCTAAAAGGAAATCCGACCGGGGAGCTACTCTAGATGAGCAATGTTTTTAATTTTCGCACGAGTTTTTCCTATAAATGGGAAAAATGTGGTAAAATCCGGAAAAAAAAAAACGTGAAAACAAATACCTATTATTAAAGAAAATATATAATGCACATGAAATTATTTCGCCATAATGTGGACACATGGATTGTTGACCAAGAGCAACACTGTTACTTATTAGTGAAACTCTGTTCAGAACAGTTTTTCTTTAGCGACGGTTAATCGTTTCACGTTTGACGAGAAAACTCCCGAGAAAATCGAAAAAGTGTCTACCCAAGTCGATTTCCTTTCGGAAAAGTCGCCGCACATAAAAACATCTTTGTAAAACCATAGGCTTCTTTGTCTCTACAGTCAGAATTTAAATTGCACGACAAAAAAAAAAAAAAAAATAATAAAAACGTCTCGGGACAACGTACAGGTAATTTCGTAGTCCGTTCGCGTCTATTGACCGTTGCCGACGATAAAACGATTCTGACCGGAGTTCAGTACACTGTTGTAGTAGTCGGTCCTCCGTCAACAACATAATAACATACGATACGTCGTATCATATCGCGGCCGAAATAATCACGCGGGCGAATAGGCGACGCGCGTTTTCTTTAAAGCTATTCGTTCACGACCGTAGGCGCCCGGTTTCCCGTTGCGTGTCCGGGCGACGCGCCTGCAACTACCGATGACGGTTACGTTTGACGCGGATAACCGGCCGGGTGTCGAAAATAGATTTCCCGGAAAAGGCTCCGGCGCGCGCCGGCCCGACGGCGGCGCGGACGGGCGGACGTCGCGTGAATTCGTCACCACGGCGTCGCGGTTTTCCTGGACACATTCCCTCCACTCCGCCACCCGCGGCGTGATGTTCTCGCGCGTGCCATTCCGCGATACGTATTTCTGGTCGTCGTGTCGTTTTCGGACCGAACATCCAGTTGAATAATCGCGAATCAACGGTGTCCGAAAATATCACCCGGGCGCCTACTTCTCGGAAAACGTCGGCCATCTAGTGGAGGCCTACGGCGGGTTTACCCGCTGTTGTTTTTCCGAGAAACCGCACCGAGCAACGAAATAACAGCGAAATATAGTAAAACCGTTCAAGCCAAAATAGCTTTAAACAGCGAGAAACCTCTCTCTACTCACTTCGATGTCGAACATCAGTTTTACAATTGGAGAAAAATCTTTTGAAGGCACACGCGCGGGAGTACGGCTCTCACACGGGCGCGAAACCTGGACAGTAAAGTGAACGGAACACGAAGGCATTGGAATAATGCGGCGCGTTACGGGGGAATGTCGAAGATGACATCGAAATGTCCGGTATTGCGAAAGTGCACGACGCGTGCGATGCGCCGAAAAACCACCGTGAAACCATTACCAAATAAACACGACATTTTACCCGCTACCAAGTACGAATCGAAATGGCGCCGCGGCCGTACTTCACGTACACCTGATCCCCCCGGACGTTGTTTCGCGTCTGAAAACTGGTACGGGTACTCACCGGTAACACTGGCGCCCGCGCCGCCGGTTGCTGTTTGCGCTCGATTTCTTGACGGACGATCGTCGCCGCGACACTTTAACGAATTTACGCGAATTAACTGTGGAAATAACGGGAGGAGTAAAAATAATAACACGCGGACGCGACCGAAAACGAAATCGCGAACGCGTTATTGTCGGAGCGGCCGCTCGAAAACGCACTCACGGGCGGTCGGCCGACGGGAAAGCGTTCCCCGCGTCGCCGACAATCACGCCAGTGTGACCAATCCCTTGCCGGCGCTCTCGGTTCCCCGGCCGGTGCCGAAATTCGCCAACTTTCGCCGCGGCGAGTTTCTTTTGTTCGCGGGGCTTGCCCGATTGGCCGAAAAACACGCACCGCTCCACCACTCGCCATTTTTCGCGACCGGTTCGCGGAAGAAGACGACACTCGGCAGGCCGATGTTTTTTTCTCGGTCGCCGTACGGCGAAACTCTGACAGCGGCCGACAGTTCACTTTATTCGACCGCGGTTTTCGGTTCGTTTCCAATCGTCCCACTCGCTCGCTTCAATCGTCGTACGCTACACTTACACTACTACGCCATAATCATTTTCGTCGCCGAGTACACAGTGTAAAAAAAAAAAAAATAAATATCTTAGTAAAAATTATCGCTACACCCATAATATAAAATTGGATACAATGTGAAAATAGAACGATTATCGTTTAATTTTGGTTTAAAATATACATAAAATAAAAAGAAAAGAAAAAAAGAAAAAAAAGAAGAGGAGGACGTCCGATCATTTTGGAAATTGTACCACGTCTAGGTAAGTCTAATATAACTATTATTACTGAGTTTCAAGTCGCTACGTGTATTTATAACCGCGTTACAGTAAACAAACTCCCAAAAATTAAAATTTCTTAAAAGCTCAAAAGTTTTGGCGATGACACCGTAAGAAATTGAATCTAAAAGGCAACAAAACAGGTGTCTTGTGATTTTTCAATTAAATCATTTTTTTCAGGTATAAAACGTCGTCCGTATTTTTATAAAATAACGAAATCGTGAAATTCTACGTTTTCCTTTTTTTCCCACTTAAGTGCTTTTTAATTAAAATGGAATCTAAAATTCAGAATTTTTTTTCTAATCGAAAATGATTTATAAGACACCCTTGTTAATGGTATTAGTAGGACAAAAAATCCACATAATTTAGAGTGCTGTGTAAAAAATCGGATAATTATTTTATGGAAAAAAAAAAAAACAACACATTTTCGCTGTACTCAAATACATAAAATGATTTTTGTCGTTCGTCCGTTTTATAAAATGTTATCGCTATAATAAACATAGATCGATTACTGCAGGACGTATTCTGCGGGTTTCTTACGCGCGACCGCGCCGCGGAACAAAGCAAAATCCCGCGTATATGCACCCCGCGACACTTTTCACCGTTCGTTGGCGGCCCGGCGGTGCCAACCAAACCGCGCGCGCGCGCGTCACACGCGCACCGGTTCTCGCCCGCCGACGCGTCCGGCGCGCGACACCGTGTTGTTTTTTTGCACGGCCGTCCGTCCGTCCGCGTCACGTGCCGCTGTGCCGCTGTCGCTGTCGTAACGAGAACGTTCGCCGATGGCAACGACGCCGTGCCGTCTGTCTGCGCCGCACATTGCCGCGCGTTTACGGCGTGTCCCAGCTGAACGCGTTAGTAATCAAACATTGTTTTTAGAATTGGGATGTGTCCCCTAACTGGTGGATGGTTTTTAACACGGGCGAGCGGGCGATAACAACGTTATCGCTCGCGCCGAAACAGAACTATTTGTTTTTGGACGCGGGCGATTTTAACGGCCGGCGCAACTCGTGCAAACCAATCCCGTCGGTCGCTCGCTCGCCCGCCCGCCCGCTAAATCCCGTTCAGCCCGGACACGGCGTTACCGTTGGTTGTAACGACGTGTGCGCGTACGCCGTGTCCGCCGTGTCCGTCTGCGCGATTGGCGTTTACGCACGCGCTCGTAACACCGCCGCGTGATCGCGTGCACCGCGAACGCGTTCGACGGCGAAACGAATTCGTTTTGTGTGCGTGCCGCGTCGTGACTTTCCCCCTGTCGTATCGGCGCTATTCGCGCGGCGATTTTTAAAAGGCGGGCACATCGATCCGGTTTCTGTATTTGCGTTTTCAACGTCGCGACACCGGCCGCGGGTACACCGTGACAGGTGTGCGTAACTAATTTGTTTTTTGTTTTTCCTGAGGATTGCCCGTCGCATTATATTGTACTTGTATATTTCACCGTCATTTATACGCCTGTACAGCGTGATTTTTTTTTTTTTTTTTTTTTTATCATGAGCCAGCTATTATCCCAGAGGGTTTTAAGCGAATTCGATTTCTGTTTTTTCCGATCATCATGGAACCGTCTAAGTTTTATTTTAAAACCGTTTTTAATATTTTTTACCCCTGCTCTGTGTACCGTGGATTAGTGTATACTTTTGATTTTCAAATAGGAATTCCCTTTCCCCCCCCCCCTTTTGAACACAGATTTGAGTAGAGAATATTTCCTAGAAATGTCGGTATGCACTACGCCAATATCAGATTTACCGTTTATGAGTTATAACGGTTTGAAGTTTAGACCGGAGGAGTAGGGAAGGTTGAATTGCCTATCTATATATACATGGGTATATGGATCGATTAAACTATTTATTAATTATTTTCAAAAAACGTTCATTCCTTAAATCCAATCTATATTGTACACGTCATATTATTATACTTGCGGTCTTTTATGTCGTAATTCGACCGGGATTTGGTGAAAAAAAAAATATTTATATATATTTAGTGGGGTCAATATACCTTAACCTACCCAGGTTTTATTATCTGTTTAATCTGTAATATCTGGTTAAATATACTCAAATCGGAATGTTGGTAAATGCGTGTTATAAAATGATTTCAAATCCAAGTCCTAGTAAAAAAAAAAAAAAACACCTGCTGTCTGCGGTATACGATATTCGGTAAACAATTTTTTGTTTTCGCGTTGACCGACGATGTTTTAAGTGAAGCGTAATTTTCGTTTGAATATGCAATTACGGTAAAAATATGAAAAATACAAACTTGACTTTCAATTACAGTAAGTTTGATTCGCAAAAGATTATTGACGAAAGCCTAAGAGAAGGTGGAAAATATTCGGTAACGTACACATCCGTGTGTTTTTTTAATTATAAAACGCCGAGTAAAATACAGATTAAAATGTATAGTATACAGATAGTAAATAGGGAGGATGGGAGGGGGCGGAATGTTTTTCGAAAATCTAAAGTCTTTATATATTACCTATTGTGTTTATGGCGCGTACGGAATAAATGTGAAATTTCGTACACGTTTCTTTACAACTAAAGGAGACGATTAAACGCGATTCTATAATAAGTGACGAAAAATCGATTTCGTACGAAATCTTCGTCGGCAATCGCCGGATCTTGTTTTTTAAAAAAAAAGTCAACCCGCATTATATTATAGAATGCTAAACAACGATATTTTCTCGCAGGAACAAACCGTGATAAAAAAAAAAAAACAACCCAACACGATCGTTAAAAATACATTACAATAATAATATTATTGCGACACGCGATATAAACGATGTGAACGTATCTATAGGTAACGATTTTAAATCTATATAAAACCGTTAACCTCGTTAATAAAAAAAAAGTCATGAAACCGGTCATTATAGTCTTGATATTACAATTTCGGGATCGAGTACCGCGGACTGCCGTACAGTTGTTTTATTGTTTTTGTTATTATTGTCGTGGAAACGTCCGAAAAAAAAAAAAAACAAAAACAAAAACACGACAACTGAATATTTCATATCAATAAAAATACAATAATGCGCAATGTAAATTAATACGAATGACATAAACTGTACACGGAAAGTTATGAATTCAATACATTATAAAACATCTTAAAAGTTAGAACCATCTCAACAATCCCATTTTTCAATATAGACAAATATATACCTACCTATAAATTTAAAAAGTTAACAATCAAAACCATATTTTGTTTAAATCTAAAATCTGGCGGCAACAACCAGACGTCAGACGTCTCCATATTTTGGGAAAAAACCGTTTTTCAACTTTAAGACAAATGAAATACATTGATTAGTGTTACATTCCGATAAATCCAATCGTTGGATACTGAGATGCAATATGATCTAAGCCCTAAGGTTTTTGCTTTAACAAATTATAATTTATTCAATTTAAGCAACGATAAACTAACGAAATACGATAGTCCGTTGTATATGGTTTGAAATTCCGTTAATGTCTACAATTTGATATAAAAACGATTAAAAAAAAAAATTCAATATTTATATTTTACACTCTAAATTGTGTTTTTACTAAAAGTACAAATTACAATAAACCTCGAATTAAAACGTCAAGTATTTATGTTTGGTCAAACAATGGAGGCTGTCATTATTTTTCATACGCAGTTTTTCCTAACTCTATAGTGTTGTCTGAATGAAAAAAATAGCTTTTCTTTTTTTTTCATTATTTTAGGACTTTTGATTTTTTTTTAAATTTGACTAGTTTAAAAAGATCAGTTGGCTCGAATTTAAATGTGTCTTACCAAACATCAGTCATACTAAGATAACCATACTGATAAGAACATGTTAATAACGTTATCAATCAAGATGCATAATAAGGCGTAATTTCAGTCACAATGGTAACCTTAGACCGTGGTGGTAACTTACTACCACTGTTGCCGCTTGTAACCCACTAAATGGGACACCGGATAAGACCCATTCGGCTCCCGTCAATAACGATCGTTTTGAATAATTTTTAATAAATTGATTTTTAAACTCAATTTTTGAAAAATTAAAAAGTTCGAATAAAAAATTAATTTCACCAAAACATTTTTTTATTTTTGACGACCCCCATTTTATCCACATAGTACTCATCAAAGAAAAACTACGTAAACTAGAAAATGTAAAATAACTGAAAATAGCTCGAAATATTTTGAAAAATTTGACCGCGTCTAAAAAAGGCCATTATACGTTTTCTGTGAGAATTAAAAGTCTCTACGAGTAATTTTAACCAAAGTACAATAAAATTGAAAATAATGAAACCATATTCTTTCTACATTTTTCCTGGTTTTGCTTAATTATAAATTATAAAATTACACGGAAAACCAAATTCCATACGTAAACCATTCATATAATTTATCAAATATTTTAATTAATGCAATTTGTGTATCATAAAATTTAGATAAATTATAATACAATATTACAGCTAAAGTTCCGGGTGTTGACTATGATATATATCACTTAGAAGACGTTGTGATGGGCTATTAGAAATGGTACATCGAGAGCTATAGGTAATTGAGCTTAATCCGGAACTGGCTTAAATCACTGGCCGGTTTCCATCTCGAAACTGTAAAATTATAATAACCATTCACATACCTCAAGTCTTTAACTGTGACAACGATTGCACCAGCTGCCAAAGCTGAAACAGAATAAAAACTAATATATGAAAGATAAAACAATGATAAAACTATAAAATAATGACATTTTTTTGAAAAATGTTATTATCAATCTTCGTATAATAGTTAGGTGTACTATCATATTCACGATTATTTTTATATTTACATTTATAAGGGTATTTATTAATAATCAATAATAAATATTTATGTTATACCTACTTATACTCGTATATTACATTTATTAGTATATAATTATTATTATGAATATCAGAAGCAAAAGATCAAGGTATTATTCAAACACGATTGTGTTGTAATGTCTACATAATGTCATATAGGCACTAAGAACGTTTGGAACGGTATAATGAAATACAAAAGGCAACGGTTTAGTAATATTATTGCAAACAAAAATCAAAATTAAAAATATCGAACAAAACAAAAGTTATTGAATTGGTCGAATCTCCGT